GTTAAAACGGGAGTGTACAAGTACTTGTACTTGTATCTAAACGTAATATCGTTATCTCTAGTTAATTGTGTATGATTGTTCTTTGTTCCTTTTGGGTAAATGGACTGCCCGTGACGTCACGGAATGGCGTCGCGGACAACGGTTGCACTCCTTGTGTTATTATGATAGGTATTACGTATCTTTTTTATTTACTGAAAATTTCGGTAAAATTGATAGGTACGCGAACTCCTGTGGTTCGATAAATAATAATTATAATAAAAAACTTCTTTTATTACTTTGAAAGATGTATCTTTTAATTTAGTTACAAGCTGTTGTTTCATAATACTTCAATATTTTTGAACATCTGTGATATTTTTTTGTTAAATTCAGGGCGTATATCAACGTTGATTGAAAGTCAAAATAATTTTTAAAAAGCTCAAAGTTAACTCGGATTTCAAATTTAATAAAATTTTAGATTTTTTTTTTATTTTAGCCGCTACATATCCTTGTGTTTATAATCGATATATACTTAAAAACTCACAATATATCATAAACCTTTAATTTTACGAGTTTTTTCGACCAATGATGTGCATTAATATATATCAATACAATCTTTAACAAACAAAATATTTCAGAATTATCAGGAAACGTGTCTATTGAGATAATACATAACGAAGAATATATTATTTGTCGATATATGCACTTTTTTATTAGTCCCTCTTACCACATTCTGTGCGAGCCCGAAGGTTTCAATCACATCCGAATGATTATATTGCATCCAGTCGCATCCTTGGTACAGTTCTCAAAGCGTTTGTTCTTAGTCGCAATGTTATAAGTAATCTTAACGTCGTCGCGGGTTAGAATCCAATACGGGACATGAAACAGACGGATCGGATGTGACCATACTGTCTGTATTAATCGAAGTCCCGGTTGCAGTACACATAGTATATGCACAAAAAAAGATTCCAGGCCGCTTCATGGACCCGAGTGCGAGTTACATGTAAGTTCTAATTTGTGTGGGAGGATAAGGAAGACCTTACACCTGTTAGATTGAATAATGAAGGGGAAAAGAACTTTAATGCTTTTTTATGCTTATCATTTGTGGATAGAAGGTTGATAGTTCAATGAGGGTATAAAGTTGACCCTGTCCCCAGTTTAATCTACCTTTTAAGAGACAAAATAGATAAAAAATGTATGTCAGGCATTATTATACACAATACATCCAGACTAGGAGTTTTAATCGGTATGATCAGCCATCTGCAAGACCAATACTCAATTTCACTAAACGTTTTTATGGCTTTCATGTGGAATGCATGGTAATTTAAGATATATGATAGGAAGCATGATTCTCCAAGGAATAATATTATTTATTTGTGAATACGTATACAATTGCTATTTAATTGTTCAGTATTTGGCCTAATGATAATTAACGTAGTTGATTCTCATTGATTGAAGTGAACGGTGGTTGTACTCATGTGAACTGAATTTTGATTCATCAATCTATATATGTGCCCCTCATAAAAGGGAGATCGTGATTTAAAACTATCTATTTGGAAACATTTTTGAAAAATCTACTTACGTTTTCACCAGTACTTACTTACTGGTCCCTGCTAAGCAAGTAACAACATTATCTTTGTAATATAAGGCTTATTATATAAATTGTATTTTAGAAGAACTCGGATTTCATCCTACCGGTGATACTTCATTTTATACTTATAGTTCCCTTTCTAAGGAAGACATTCTTTTAAATCATATGTAAGTTTTTAATATATTTAAGAACCCAAAGAACTACCATAGCTATATTGGATTACGAAACTTCATAAACATTCTTACAAACAAAGAAACATTGCAGGTTCTAGTAAATGTTCAACCCAGCCTCTTTCTTTATTCCTCACAAAGATATTAACAGCATTGAAGGAGAATCTTCAAGAGTACTGTGCAACATTATATTCAAGAAGTGGTGTAAAACAGATGTGGAGACTTCAAAAAATTCCAAGGAACTTTTGGACAATTTGAAATTACAAGATTTTACCAAAATCAACAGCTTTCACTCTTACGACTTTTCAACTTTATACATAATAATTCCACAAAATTAATTAAAATCCAGGCTTATTGAATATCATTGAGAGCTTCTTTTTCAATAAAAATGGAACTCGTCAATTAACAATCCTTGTTATTGATCATTTTCAAAATTATTTTGATAAAACTCATTCTGATTGTACACACAAGTACTATGAAGCTGACAGCAAAAACATGCTTGAGTTTCTTATTGACAATATCTATGTGGTTTTTGGAAACCAAGACTTCAAACAATCTATTGGAATTTCCATGGGTACTAATTGCGTCCCGTTAAAAGTAGACCTAATTTTGCAGCAGAATATGTCCAAAATCTTATGCGTGAAAAGAAGAAAACACTTGTTGATGCCTAATGGCAACTTCCATTCTTATGTCAAAACGATATATCCCGGTGAGCTTGAGATAAAAGTACCACAGAATCTGACACATCTGTTTCATATTTGGATATTTTCTTGAAAAAGACGTTAATGGTAATCTGACAACGAGGCTCTATAAATTTGATGACTTAAACTTAATAATCGTCAACTTCCCTTACTTATGCAGCAATATATTTTCATCACCTGCATACGGAGTTTACATATCTAAGTTGATTCGCTACGCAAAAGTATGCTTTACGTTTCTAAAACGAGGTAAATTATTGACAAACAAGCTGATGAAACAAAGGTATCCGCTGTCTTGTTTAAATTAATAATTTCGTAAGTTCGTAAGTTCTATGGTCGAAACAATGACCTTGTTAGCAAAAACAATTTATCACTGAGTCAAATGCTGCTTGAATTTTTTTCAAACTAATTGTTAGTCCATCATTTACACACTGAATTGAAGACGGATTTTCCCGTAACCTGATCAAACCTCTGATGTTTTGGAGGTCCGTCTTTGCTCTGCTCCTTTTTTTATTTATTGTTTTATGGATTATTGATCTGGAATGCTGCTCGTTATATCCGTAAATTTCATCATGGAATCATCAACTTTATGATAAAGTTTTGTTGTTAGGTAACCATCAACCTTTTTCCCAATAGAATATTTATCATGTCAAATTCAACTACTGTCCATTAGTTTGGCATTTTTGTGGTGAACGAGAAACAAGTAAAGAAAAATGGAAAAAATACAGGAAAGAGCACTGCGGTTTGTTTATGATGGCTAGAAAAATTCATATAGTTATCTTCTGGACAAATCAAAATTACCTTGCCTCAAAGTCAGGCGTATTAAAACAATGGCCATAGAATGTTTTAAGATCTTAAACAATCAAAGCCCATCTTACTTGCACGATTGTATTCATATTAAAGAAACATCTTATTCTTTTAGATACACAAAAACTGCTGTTTTACCAAAAACAAGATCAACAACATATGGGTTGAAGTCTTTTAGATATAAGTCCGCAAAACTTTGGAATTCTTGACCAGAATCTTTTAGAAATATTACTACTTTTAACCAGTTCAAATCTTAGTAAATAGTTGGTACGGAAATTGTTGTAATTGCTGTGCTTGTCGCTAATTTTATTTTTAGAAACTAGTAAACAGGGTTAAAATTATTTTCTGTTTCTTAGTTTCAATGTGGTGAATAGTATGTCATTGTAATGCACCATGGAGTAATTGTAATATTTTAGTAGTGTGATGTAATTTTAAAAAAAAAATGTTTCTTGTTTATTATTATATGATTGTTGTATTTTATGTAACATTATTTTGTAGTCGGAAAATTGCTCTTCAGAGTTAAATAAATGTTCTTTGTTGATGTACCCGACTTTAAATAAATATTTTCTTATCTATTTTGTCTCTTACAGAAAAAAACATGGCTTTATTTTATAGTTGTATATATCCGTATTTTTTTTTTTATTTTGTCTAATAACATGAATAAGGTACATGTAATACACGATAGAAAGGTCCTTTTTTTCTCATAATTAATTTTTTTTTTAAGCTTTGATATTTGTTCTAGATTTCAAACTCTCTAAAATATGAAAGAAATTCAACCGCGCAATTTAAGTCTACGTAGTTTGAATATGGCCTATAAGACCCCTGTGAGAAGATTATGAAATCAAACTCGACTTGAGAGTGAGCCACATTTCAAAATTATCAATCTATCTATTGCAAACTTGTTTGATGGTATTTATGAAAACAACTTTGTTACTTAAATTCAGTAAGTTATATTGATGCTTGGAAAGTTGACTAAAATATATATGATTTGAAAATAAAACATACATTGCTTAGAAATTAAAAATTAAAATGTAAATATGCTACACTTTAAGTTTTCTATGAGAACATGAGTAATTCAGTTTTCCTAAACAAACTCAACAAAATGATTCAAATGCTCCCTTCCCCCCAATAGATATCAAATTAAGGAAAATTGAACCGGTTGTTTCATACCCCCCCCCCACACACACAAATTCCAATGGTCCCAAAAACTTTAAAAATCAGAAGATGACCTTGACCTTTATAGAACATAGAGAATGAAGACTTCCTGATATACAATGTACGTGAACACAAATTACTTTGCACTTAATAAAAGAATGTTAGACATCATAAAGGCATGTTAAAATATAAACCTCAATTTTATAGAATTTTTCTTACATGCTATATTGTGAAACACATGTGTTACTTTTTTCCTGTACTTTTCAAATGAGTTAAAATAGAATTCATTGGTGTTTTGTATTATCTTAAATACTAATGAATGTACCGGAAAATGTTTATTTTAATTAAGATGTCCTATTTACAGTAAATTATCAGTTTTTAACCTCTAGTAAAGGTGAGAACACAGATGGTATTTACTTTCTGACAGGTATTAATGTAGTATTGGTTTTTCTGTTAGTTTTAAGGCAATTATCAACAGACTTCTTCTTGTTTCTACTGACATGAATTACATGTCTTTCTACAATTTATAAAAGAATGTAAACAAACTTAAATTTCAAATCGATGTTAAAATTTCTTTCCTAGAATTTCAAGCACAGAAGGCAGTCTCATTAGATAGCCCGGCGTATCGACAAGGCGCATGCTCCCCACTTCAGCATGACTTAAATCAATGCTCTTCAAAAAGTATCGGATAATCCGTGCTTTGGCTCACGGATAACGTTACAGATGTGATTGCCAATCTGACAGAACACGCTTCAAACCAACATTCCAGGACAGTATGCAGAAATTACTCAAGTTCTTTGCTTGGATAATATTGTTTTTATACTTAACTCTTCAATTTGCCAAGGCCTCAATCAAGGACAAAAATAAAATTCAACTCGACGGGAATATGATTTTTGGAGGACTTTTCCCAATGCATGAAAAAGGACAGAGTGGTAAAGACTGTGGGACTATAAAAAAAGAAAAGGGAATACAAAGACTGGAAGCCATGTTGTTTGCAATTGACAAAATTAACGCAGATGAAAACTTATTACCAGGAATCACAATTGGGACTCATATTCTGGACACGTGTAGTTCGGACACTCATGCTCTTGAGCAATGTATGGACTTTATAAAAGCTCAACTGACCAGCATTGATATGACTGATTACCAGTGTGACAACGGAAGAAATCCTGTGTACACCCCTATTAAGCCTGTGGTTGGGGTCATCGGGGCTGCGGCCAGTACTGTTTCTATCATGGTAGCCAATATTCTCAGGCTCTTCCAGGTGAGTGAAATGAACTTTTTAAAGATTTTTTTGTTTCAGACTGTTTTTTTTACCTAACAATCCTGACTCTTTTCGTGTAAAAATTAAATGTTTCGACCTTTTTATCAGGATATTACATTTCAAAACACGTATCGGTCTTTTTAACAGATGGTAGTATCACTTTACCTAACACACGATCCTGGTTCTAACGAGTGATGCGCCTTCATAGGTTAACTTCATTCATGTAAAATGTCAAGTTTACATATGTGTATATTTTTACAGTCTACAGTTTAATTTGGTCTAGTGATTTAATAACAAAAGAGCTGACAAGGCACCATAGAAACTTACTATTTGAAGATCAAAGAAACTATATAATATGAGGTAAAAATACTCTGAAGCAAAGAGTGGTTGCCCAAACGTTTTTCTTTTTGTTTGTTTTTGTTTTTGTTTTTTTTTAATTTACCTTTATCGGAAGTCTTTTGTGTGAGACACTAGAATTAAACAGAAAACCACAAAAATAAATGAAAAATGACATTTAAATTAGGCGTATCAAATTTGCACAGCAGGTTTCAGTCAATTTGTCAGAATATTTCAACACTAAGTATGAAGAAAAACACGCTTCTTTAACGTTATCTGAAGGTGTGTACACAAGACGTAACGAGGTTAAAGTAGAAGAGCCTCAGATGTATTTTGCATTACATGCATAAAACATTGTAAGAATTCTGCCAGTTTTATGATGAAAATTTCAACATGTGTAGAAAATTCATACCACCGTTCATATTGCTTTCTGTATTAATTAGTGAAACAAGTGCATACATACTTTACTGAAGATATATTAAAAAGATTTGTTTAAAAATAATCTTTAAATAATCAGTGTAGAAGTCTTTTCATCCTGTTTAGGATAGGTTTCACGAGTTGGATAAATGTAAACTGATAAAATTCTGATTATGAGTTGAAGGTTTTTTTCTAATAGAAATATTAAAAACGTTGACAAAGCAAATATATACAGAGATACAATAGAAAAGACGTCTTTGCCTGACAGTTTTCTGGGTAATTTCCCATTCAATACATCACGTGATGATCAATGATGCATCAGCAAATTTACATGCATGGAAAGCAGACATGAATGTTATTGTTGAAAAAAAGGTTTGGCGATTATTGTTAACAGATTTCTTTATTCCATTCAAAAAAGCGTTATATTAATTAAAATAGATGTCACAACTTATTACATTATGAGTAAAATGACCCTCTGGTGTAGAAGTATTGAAAAGTACGATACCTTTTGGTCATTATCTCACTTACAGTTATATGCAAGGGAATTGTATACAATGTACACATGGGCTCTCTTTATATTATTGCATTAGTTCGTTCATTACTCACGTCAACTTTTTTTAACAATCATTGGTGTACCTAAGTCCAATAATACTGAAGTAACTATGCTTGAAATACCTAGCGTTTTTCATCTAGATCTTATAATGATTTTAGTAATTTGAAGCGACATAGAAATACCGTATTGGAAAAATTGTTTGTTTGTTTGTTTGTTTTTTTAGTTGTTTAATGTTCCTTTCGAAAGTTTTCACCATTGTTGAGATACCGCATATTTAAGCAACTATTGAAATAACGCCAATTATTGAATTAATTATTACAGTAATGGGTAGTTGAGAAAACATTTCAAATCCAAAAGCAGATAACAACGTCTATTGAACCTATGTTAACTTATGAGAGAATTTTATAAAAAAAAAAAAAAGTCGTCATGATGCAATTGGTTGTGACAGCATTTTTAAGAGAAATCACAATTCCACACAGTATCTTAATAATGCATGCCTTTGAAATGGTTCTTAAAATAAACATTTAAATGCAACGTAGATTATGTCTGTTCAGAATAATAATTCAGAATAATTAAAATGATATAATTACTAAATTTCGGTACCTCTTCATGACTGCTGAGATATTATATTGCAAGTGATTACATCTGTTAAAATTTGGAATAGCTTTTCTATTTCTCTAAAGCAGGACACTTATACAGAGTGCTAGATATGTATTTTAATACATGTAATATTTAATAGAAAGCTACATTATTATTTTTTTTAAATTTCATTTCAGTGTAAAATTTAAATATTTTACAGATCTAATATTTTTTCAAGTGAAAATAAAAATTATGACAAATAGATACTAGACATTATAAAAATAGTATATAACGGTTGACAGTGGTAGATGGAAACTCTTTGTACAAACAAGGTGAGCATATTGGAGTACACTTGAAAGAAAGACAAATTTATTATGTCAATAGAAGTCGTTTCCAAGACGCAAAAACAGTTGTCTGGAACGTTTTTCCTTCTTGTTATATTGTGTTTATATATATGTTCCTGAAGTGAAATGTGTTAAATCAAATTTCATATTGTTAAATCCAATTATAATACAAATTTCGAAGCAAAGCAAGCACTGAAGTTTAAAAACAATGGAAGTGGAATAGATTGCCGGGAAGGGGTAAAAATCTTCTGTCGTCCGCACACCAAACCTTCAACCTATTCTTGAACATTTATAAAGTAACGGAAAGACACTTAGACAATTCAAATTGAAAAACGATGGTCAAATAAGAAGTATGAAAAACGGCAGTCAAGGACTTTCTGCGAGAAACTAAATGCATCCTGAAATGAATGTTGCATGCCCTTTATATGAAAACTTAAAGTTTTGTCCCCGTGTCACGGCAGGCTTTGACACGATAAAGAACCTTCACTACTATATGTCCCTGACAACCAAGAAAACGCCGAACTTTGAAGTTCTACGCCGGTATATTATAATGTTTCTATACACATATGGTTGGAAATTTGTCAAATTGGACGTAAGCAAAGTACAATCAATATTAAATAGTTATTTTAAACCCATTAATGAATTATTTTGATAATTATCCTTTCGAAACAGTAATGTGCATGTTCTTGGATCAAAATAAAAGTATACATTCATTGATACATTTTTATTTAAATATAAAATCTAAGTTAAACAGATGAAACAGAATACTATGATTTGATTTAAAACTGCGTTACAACAGATAGTAGTTGTATTTAAATGTTTACAAATATTTGTGGAGGATACTCTATTACAAATTCCATCACAAAACACCTTTTTTTTTGTTTTTTTTACAAAATATCTTCAAAAGGTTGAGGGGAACATAGAAAAGAAAATGTTGATAGAATTCCTAATTTGTAAACTTTGTCAAAATAGTAAAATTTGTGTTATATAAGGAAGATACATATACATGGAATTGACGGAAGGAAAGAGTGGTTAGGAAATAAATTTGAAAATAGATAGAAAAAAGGGAGTCTATACAAAAATAAATAGTTAAAAAAAATAGATAAGCCCTTAACAGAAACTCCAATATCTGACATAGATCTTAGAAAGAATTTATATGAGGAAGGAAATAAAGTCATAACTAGATATCAAGGCTTAAAAAGATATTCAAACACTTTAGAAAAAAAATCTAAGAAAAATGAAGAAAACGAATAGTATTTAGGATCAAAAAGTGTTTGAAACAATGCAAATCCAGAGCAAAGCAAACAAGGACCTCTAAAATCCTCTGAATTGGGAGATCCACCAAATGCTCCTCGTCATAATCGGACGAATGTACAAAATTCTATTCAACATTCGATTATTTATACTAATAATGTTGTTTTATCGACTAAGCCACAAAGTTTGCACATAGAATGTTATTCTGAAGATATCTAAGTTACCGCCCAACCTGAAATATGAAATTCTTATGAGTCCTTGCAATATCAGTTCAAGTCAAAGGTTGAAAATCGAAGTTTTTTATAGCATAATCAGAATATTCTTTCCGGCCGTTGAACCAGTTCCACCAATATTTGATATAGATAAATGAAGGGTACAGAACAATTCTGTTTAAATGGTCCCTACCACAGAAGATAAATGGGCGAGGCTTAACCCGTCTTAATTTGATATGTCTTACCTTTAAAAAGATGGAAATCAGTCAATAAGCACTTTTCAAATGCTTTTAAACATATGAGTCATGGAACCATGATGATGGGTTCAGAGTTTGAGCGGATGAACCTTTTGATCAGATGATCATAAAGTGCATTAAATGTTTGTCATCTCAGTCACTCAGGTGGCCTATTGCTATATGATTTTTTTCCGCCGTCCCGCATCGTGCGATGTGCGTTAACTTTTGAACATTTTCAGCGTCTTCTCTGAAACTGCTGAACCAATGCAAATCAATTTTGGTATATAAATGTAGCACCTACATGTATGTGTTAAAGGGAACAAAAACAAATTAAATTAATGACCCCTGCATTTCCCGGTGGGTGGGGGAGGGGGGGGGGGTTGAGTGTTGGGACTAAAATCATCAAAACTTATAAAATCTTCTTACTCCTCTACATCAGGCAAGTAAACTGTGGTATGATTATAATAAGCATTGAGGCCTCTTATAAAATTGAGAAATTTATGCCCAAGGGTCAGGGTTTCTAGTGCTGGAGTGGGGCTATATTGATTACTTAATGAAAGTGCATTATTTCTTTGCAAATCTTCTCTGTTCCTGTGTATTAAACAAACAAAATTTATGTATTTTTTATGATAAGGAAGGGTGTCTCTTCATTTTTTTTTTCATGATCCCAGGGAAAAAAGGTTCTGGTGTTACGGTCGGGCTCTATTGATTATATAGTAAAATGCATTAATTCTTAAAATAATCTTCTATGTTCTTGGTTTAAAGCAAACAAAATGAAAGCATATGAAAATGAAAGCATATTCATATTCAATTTTGTTTTCTAACCTGTGATTGGTAAAAATTTAAAAAGGAAAATAAATAGTTTATGTATAACCTGGTTTGGTATGGGACCACAGACCACCAGCTGAATCATCTGTACCCAAGCAATCCTCTTTTTTGAAGTTCTTGGGATTCATTGACAATTCCAGATTTAATAAATTTTCCTTTAACTTCAAACAGTAACTCGATCTTAATACATATGTATTACCAGCATGGCTGCTATGTATAAGTTTTAGCTCCCATCGCTCCC